AAAAACATAGTTTTGATGATTCCTAAACCCCCCCCCCCCCCCCCTCAAAAAAGTCACTTTTCGTCAGAATCATCGAAATTGAGATAAATCCATAGAAAAATAGCCCGTCATCTGCTCTTTCATAAACGACAAAAATTTTTATTCGGCATCTCTTTTTTCCAAAAAATTTGGAAGAATTTCGTCATCCCCTGTTCGAAAAACAAGCCGTTTTTACAAAAAACTGAAAATCATTTTTCGTTTTTCTCAGAACGTGGGTTCAACGACGCATCTCCAGCAGAACTCTATCACAGTAAGAGGTAAAGTCAAATACTTTTTTTTGTTTGAAAGCTTGTGTCTAGGGCTAGCGCCCCTCGTGGCCCTTTTTTTAAAATAAGCCCTTTTAGTATCATATAAGAGAACATCTCTATAGAAACAGCGCCATTTTTTTTAGGGATTTTTTTAGTCATTGAACTTGTCATTCGTTTTCTCCGCTTAAAAAGTAAGAATTTTAAAAAAAGGGCCACGAGAGACGCTGCATTTTGACATGCTCTTTCAAACAAAAAAAAAGAATTAAATGACTAGAATGAAGGCCCACAGAGAAAACTTGGAGATACTATTGGGCTATTTTGGACCCTTGTTTGGTGAATATTTCTGTTAAACATCGTGCTATAGGGCTGAAAATTTTACCCTAGTCATGGTTCACCAGCCCCAACATATCCTGAAAGTTTCATGGAATTTGGATGTTCCTGACCTGAGATCGTTTTTTGAGGGAGAGCCTTAACAGACTACTTTGGATTTGTTAATTTAAGATTATTTAAACAATTATTTATAGAGCTAATGTATTTCTATCTTGCTGTTTTTTTTTTCACTTTTAAATATGAATATGACTGAAGGGATATATGCACAACTATCGAGCGTCGTTTGACCCTAGCTTTTGGTTATGAACAGAACTTAGTGATACCAAGAAAATCCTAAATGGATTCGGACTCATACAGTAGTCTAACTTGAATATTAGCATAGTCTAATGACCGAGAAAACTTGTCTATATGCAATTTTATCAGATAAAAACTTCGAAATTGATTTTTCCATGAATATGTAACTCAGTGGGCAAAAGTTTCTATGAGCTCTACTCATAGCCAAATTATAGGATTGAACAATTGGATATGTTCAGTCGTTACAAGGACAAACCTTTTACTTGTATTTTGATTTAAATATTCTAATTAAGTCGTTTTCGTTTATTTGATTTTCGATTCGATGATTTTTTCGAAGATCTTTTTATCGATTCTAAAACAAAAACAGAGAAATATTTCTCTATGAATTATATATTCATTCATCATACCGGCATTTTCTTGTTCAGGTTGTTTAGGTGGTTCAAGTTTATAACCAACAAGTTCACACCAACCAATTGGATAAATATTAGTTGATTGACAATCAATCCATTGTTCAAAATCATCACTCCATCCATCAAAATGAACACGAATAAGATTATCTGCTACTTGTGCTACTGTAGCAACACATACTAAATGTGGTGCCATCATATCAACGGCTTCAATTTTCATTCCAATAGAAAATGGATTCGTAGTTTTTTCCTAATATAATAATAACAAATGAATAAATAGATAATATTAAAAAAAAAAATATTTATCTTCTAATTACTTTAATAATTTGAAAAAGTTCTTGTGGTGCGCAAACTGAATTAGTTTCAGATAAATATTTTTCCCATTCAAATTCACCTTGATAACCTAGAATAATTTAAATACAATAATAAATATCAATATATAGATTTGAAATTTTACCAATTGGTGGTGATAATGAAATATTATTAATTTTACAAAAATTAATTGGAAATATTAAACGTGAACTAGAATGATAACAAAACCAATCGGAACCATCTTCAGCACTTGATCCATCAATTGATAACATAAAATAACCATTTTTCAGTATCTATGAAAAAATAAATAAAGATTTAAATTATTTTTGTGAAACACAATCTAATACGAGTGTTGTATGTAGATGAACATTAAACTAAAAATGTTTAATCGTACTATTTCAAGATTTAAATATAGAGACATACTTCAAATTCTAATATATCGAATGATATACATAACTTTGTAGCAATCCTCAAAAAAAAAAATTTGCCCAAAAATTAGTACATTTTATGAATATAAAAAATGGTTAAAAAAATGTTTTACATGTTTAACTTTTCAAAAAAATAAAATAATATTTTTTTTTCTGTAGTGTTAACCGAAGCACTAATCTCGTAAAATAAGCGATTCACACTTCAAACTTTGCTATAATGTTCTTCTATCCACTGTGTCTAATCTCTGTTTTACCAAAAAATTTAAGTTTTTCAATTTTCTGGCTTTCAAAAAAAAAAATATATTATCGACAAAAACAATATATTTATTCCAAATTAGCATATTAAATTGCATCGAATAGTCGAAAAAAATCTCCTCAGGTATTTTTTTGTCGAAAAACTTTTTTTTTCTTCCGAATACTTTTCTGCGTCATATTTAAATAATGTTAAGTAAATACATCCGTTTCTAACTAACAAAGTCATATAGCATCTGTCTGTCATATGAAAAATGCACTGTGCTTCTTTCTCACGACGTGACAGATGTTGTTGATATACGATTAAAGACTGTACATCAATAAATTCTCGTTCTAATATATAAATTGCATTTGTAGAGGATTAAGTAAAATAATGGTAAAGAATAATCTTCCTGTCATTAGCAACCTGTATTATGTTTCACCTTTTAATCATACGGAGTTTTGCGCTAAGCAGTTTTTATAGATTTGATAGATTATACATACAGAAAGAATATAAATTTTAATAGTCGAAAATATTTTGAAGTTGATCATATGTTTACTTTAGAATAAAATTACAGGAAGATTATTTTAAGACATATTTCTTCATCATCATTTTACTTAATCCTTCAGAAATGCAATGAGGAAGTAATTTAACAAGACGTTATTTGTATACAGTCTTTGATTGGTGCGAACGGAATGATAGTATAAATTTCTATCCTATACATTTCAACATTCATTTTTGGAGGTTTTTTACAAAAAAAATATTTTCAGAAAAGTTTTTTAATATAAACATAAAATTTACTTTTCCAATTGTTGCTGGACTAATACGAGACATTTCTAATGGATCAACTGCTTCTAATTTTTGACCTTCTTTAAATTGTTCATCACCAGTTGATACCTTAGGAACCTAAATAGAGATCGTTTGTTTTTTTCTTCGAATATATTAAAATAACATGAATTCTTTTACCGTACGAAAAAGATCTGGTGTAGCGATATTAGCTGAATAGGAATTTGTTTCAACCATTTTTATTGCTTCATTTTTATATTCTTCAGTTGCTTCAATTTCATGTCCAGTTACATGAGACCAACCAACCGGATGTATTAATTCAGATGTATAATGAACCCAAAAATGTTCACCAGCATTCTAAATATCAAATTTCATAATAATCAAATCTTCTAAAAATTCATTTTACATTTTCATAATTGATTCGTAAACGACCACCAATCTAAAATATGAAATAATTATTATTCATATCAGAAGAATTCTTATTGATAATGAGCAAGAAAACAAAAATTCATACAAGATAAATTCAATAAGTAAAAAACTTAATCTATTTTGAATTCTTCAAAATATCAAATAGAAAAAATTCTCATATGAATAATTGTCTAATTCTTGTTTGTTAAGATTACTAATTAGATGAAAGTTAAATCTATTAGATTTTTTTTTCAAATTTTAATCTTTGATCTTATTAACATATCTATTCCAGAGAACAAAACTAAATCGAATGAAGAAGTAATTCGATACGATTCAATTCGATTTCTCATTCATTCAATAATCTTTCGATAGACGCCATATTTATCTTGATATAAATTTTTTTTTCATATGCTTATCATACATAAATTCCTTATTGACATACCACTTCTGATATTTTGCCAACACGCATATGTGATACTCGAAATTTATCAATAACTTCAACAAGCATATTTTTTTTAAATGGACATCGAAGTGATAATTGAATCTAAGAAATCGAATAAATTAAAAGAAAAGAAAAAAATTAAATTCATAGAAATTATTTTACTTTTTGACGAAAACTATCTGGTAATGTTTTTGCACCAACTAATTTATTAACAAGAAATGTTTTCCAATCAGTTTGTCGATGTTCAATTCCTACAAAAAAAAACAAAGAATTCGAACAAATAAATGTCAAAGATGACAAAAGAAAAGAACTAAATAAAAATCTTTGAAACAAACTTCTTGGTGGTGCTAATTTAATTCCATGTTGTCCACACCAACCAACACAATGAACATCTTTATTACATAAATTACACCAAAAATCCATTGATGAATCATTATCACAACCTTCATAACGTAATAATGCCAAATAACCTTCAACTCGTACAATATAAGCAAACCAAAAAATTTTTTCTTTTGGATCATTTGGACCAAGTGAACAATCTGTGTTTATAACTTCAACTTTCATACCAGATGTTAATTGTCCCCACATATCTTGTAGTGGTGCCTAAAATAATAATGATAATAAATTCAATATTTTAATCAAATGAAAAATAATTCAAGAATTTACATGACGAAAAAAACTAACTGGTGCTCCATGTGCACCCGTTGTTTTTAAATAACTACCCCAAATAAATGAAGCAATAGCATCAGCTAGAAAAATACAAAACAAAAATATATGAAAGATAATTAAATATACAAATAATTTCTACCTGATGCAGTTGGAATTGATATAATAGTTGTACCATTTATACGTGATATATGTTGTGATGGACTAATATTATTTGATGTTACAGTTGGTGGGACGGATACTGTTTCATCAGATGTTGTTGCCATTAGTAATATGCGTTTACACGCCAATGAATTAGGCAAATCTAAAGATAAGAAATAGTAAAGAGTAGTTTTTCTCGAAGTTTTAACCCGCCGAAAAAGAAAAACTTAAATGAATATGAATTTAAATGATTTGATGATTCATAGAACCATTAAGAAAGAAGACTTATTTCATCAATCAAATAATCGAGAAAGATTTACTAACATTTCACTTTTATTTCTTTGATTATTAGTTCTGTGTTGAGTAATCATATTATTTTTATTTATTGAATTATTCAAAGTACTTGAGCAAAAAAAAAACAAAAAAAATGATTACTGATAATGAGCGACATCTATCAAAATCAAAAGCTCAACTATCAATCAATGATTTAAAGCAAAATGTTCATTTATGAGAAATATCATATATTTTACTGAGAGATAAAGAAAAATTTTTGAATATGAACTTGTTTATTAAGTATGAAATAATTAAAAATCTTTATAAAATTTTCTATTGCTGTAAAAACTATCCACATATATAAATTTATCAAAGTTTATAGCCGTAAAATTTTTGAATTGTATTTTTTAGCTCATATGAATGTAAGATTATGCTCCGATCCGATGCCATTGTTTTCCCTGATATGTATACAGTTATGATAAACAATGAATAGACAAATGTAATGCATTAGATAGATATGGTGAAGAGACAGAGGAAAAAAAAGCACACGTGTTCTTTGAAGAGAAGTTTTTTAAAAGCATTCAACTTCAGAGTTACGAGGTGCTTACCTGGAAAAGATGCATTTCCAACAAGAATCGCTCTATGAGATTCAAAACTTTATTTAAAACAAGAGGTGCTCACTAAGAGAACTTTTACTATAATGTAGTTTGAAAAGTATAGATGTATGAAGTTTGACGTTCTTTTTTAATATCAATTTCAAGTACTGAGAAAACTTATTTTGTTCTTTTCTGCTTCACATCCAACAAAAATCTCAAATTTACATTGTCTGAATACTTTAACAAACGACTGTATTGATTTCTATGATGTGAGTGAATATATTTAAGTGTACCTTAATGAATATCTCTAATATCAATGTCTTGGTTACTCTCGTCAAAATTTGAATAACGAATGAGAGAATTAAACATTTTTATCGTTTGTACCTACACCTGCTTTTATAGCTGTAATGTTTGTTTTTTTTCAGTTGTATAAAATTTGCAAGAATGATCAGTTTTTATCACAATGAAAATGTCGAAAAAATAAACAGGATCTGATATGATAAAGCGATTTGATTGTCTTAAATAGTGACGTCTTTTGTTGTTTTTGATTGAATATTCATAGTCATTGGAAAAGTTTCGTGTGCTTATCCTCATAGATACTTTTCTTGTAGGTATACACTTACTGCATCGAACTTCAAGACAAAATATCTGAAAGATTCATGTAATTTTTCAGATACGCATAATATTGGTTAACTTTCCTCAAGATCAGCAAAATATGTTGCACATCGGTTTTCATTTTTTCTTGTGTTACAACAAAAAAGTTTGGTCAATTTCGCCAACTAATAATCTTTGATATATGAGTAGAAACTGAAGACTTGATGATATGATTTATGGCAAATCAATGGATCTATTTATTCTTGTTAGTCCTACACAAGTGAAAAAGAATAATACAGCTATAATAGTGAGGTTTCGTATAAAAACGAAAAATGTTGATGAACAAAATGAATTAAACCTTGTTCTCAGAGCTGAGGATGAGGGACACTTAAAATATGCATCCTCGTTAGTAACGTTTTATACTTGATTCCGTAATGAAGAACTTGAATTAGTAATAAAAAATCAATTAAAATTTCAAAGTAATCATAATGATTGATTAACTGAAATATTTTGTATATTTACACGTAGAACAACTTAGACAGTTTGAAAAACAAATATATATTAATAATTTGAAGTTTTATTTGATTATTGTACTAGATCGATATTTATCTCGTTGTTTACGAACATTTTTCAGTTTAACGAAATAAATAAATCATACAATTCAAATAACAAGAAATCACTAAAGGAACTTGCAAATTTGCTTTCATCAATATTCGAAACATTCCATAATTTCACATATTTTTTTAAATTTCTGTTGAATGTAATTTTTAATCACAACATTTATATCTCTTGTGTTTAGCATTATCATTCGTAACATGTATCATTTGGTTGAACGAAATATTTTTATATCATTCTGTTCATCTCTATATCAATACGTGCTCAATTGATATCTTCTGAAATAGATTGAATATTATGATAATGATTGATACATGCATAGTGATTAATATGGAATTTATCGTTATTTTTTAAGTAAAAAATATTTTTTTTCTCATTACTTTTTTTTTCATGATCACACGAATAAACACTTATTCAAAGTCACTTTTTGTCGTCATCTTTAAGTGAACAGAAAGAAACCGTTAAGTGGCATCCGACATAAGTGTTCTCTACTCATGAAAAGTAGACAGGCAGTTAGAAAAATATATACTAGCTTGTTCATATTGATAGATGATGAGAAGAAAACGAAAGAGAACAAATCGATTAGTTGAGTGGAACACGCATTAGCTTTTTGATCATCATGGGGCGGGTAGCAACTTGTTTAAGAAATAAAAAGAACTCTATCAACTTGATGTTTCTTTTAAACGTTCAAATGTATTTTTGATAGCAACCATAAATGAACGTGTACGTATAGGTATATTTTCATCACTTGCTGATGAAAGTGATGAATTCGATGAACTTATAAATATTGATGATAATAAATCTCGTTGTTGTATAAATTCATCTTGTTGTTTAATCAATGATGGTGTAATTATTTGATGACAATCATGATCTTGATATTTATCATCAAATGAATATGTACGTTTTAATGGTGCAAGAGATAATTCTTGTACGAATGATGATGTTGGTGAAAGAATATTATTTGCTATAGTTTGTTCAACATATGAAGTCATTTGAAGAGATGATAAATGTTGATCACCAACTACTGACATATATGGAAAAAAAAAAATTGTATTGATTAAATGAAAAGTAGCTTTGACCAAAAAAAAAATTGGAATTTCTATCTGAAATAATAAAGATTTAGATCGTTTTCTAGTTTGTTTTATTTTTAAACGTTATAAGAATCTAGAAAACGACCTGAATCTCCAGTATTCAAGGTAGAAGTTACAATTTTGTTTTTGGTCAAAGCTATTTTCCATCTGATCATTCGAGAAAAAACTTTTTTCCAATAGTGGTTAGATACCTATGGATTCTTTTCTTAAACAGGCGATATTTTACTATAACTATACATGCTCAATCTCTTGAACTTAAACTTCAATTATAGATAATTTAGTTAATTTTCTTTATCATTAGCTAATTACTTCAAATTCATCCTATTTTGTCAGAAAAAAAAGCGAGATTTGACCTGTAGAAAGATTTGAACTACATGAACGTGATAAGCGAGCACGTGAGATCTTCTACTTTCAGATTTCACTCGCACAATGCCTCGACTATTGAGTTACGCCTATGTTGACAATTCGAACACCATTTGATAATAACAATTAACATTTTGGCTCTTACATATCCGAAATAACAATATTTAATCAAAAACGACCAGTATCCTTCAAAGAAGAATGGCATTAAAGATTAAATAGATCACAGTATAGCTGCAACGCATTTCAGACTTTGCTAATAAAATTTTTATTAAACTCAATGTCAAAGGCCATTTATAGTTACACAATATTTAATTCATTATTGATATCTATCTTTGTTTTTCTGTTTTTATAAACGAGTTATTTCAATTTATTTATACCTTCTGGTTTATCTATGATTAAATCCGATCGATTAATTTGAATCATAGCTTCTACTTTTTGTTTCATATTTATTGTTTGAAATAAATTAATTATACGTTGAAAATCATATGTATTTTGAATATTTAATTTTTTATATATTAATTCAAATAAATAAAATTTTATTTGTTCATTATTATTTGTACATTGATTAGATAAATAAATATAATCATCAATATCAATTTTATTTGTTAAATTATTTATATGTAAAAGAAGAAATTGTAAAATATCAAAACGTATTTGATCTTTTTTAGAAAATAAATTAATTATATTTCGTATATCTAACCAATTGAGATTATAATTAGATAATTTATTTCGAAGTGTTTGTAATAATTGTAAACGTTGTTCATCATTTGACATTCGAGCAAGTATCGTTAAAAGCATAATATTAATCTTAGAATATCAAAACGAAAAATATTTACGCGCATAAGTTTTTTTTTTTTTGTTTTTCTTTTTTTAACAATCAAAACCTATTCACGGTTCGATTGTTATTATTAGGTTTTTTTTTTTTGATCGATACCAATCAATCAAATTGATTGTATGTTAAAATATTTTAATTTGCATTTATTGTCATCATAATGTGACGAGCGTAAGCGCGCATGATTTTGTTTGATGAACAGCAATATTTTTAATGAACTGCTCATTAGAATTTTTCTCTCTGTATATGCACAGCAAGTCAAGACTTTCATCTTTCTTATTTTTTATTGTATTACATTAGGATAGAAAAAAAAAAATGATACATGATTATTTGGTATTCATTTTTGGACCCGTCGGTAATTGATAAGTTTGTAAATCAACAGGTGTTCTAGAAAAAAAGAATATTAATGATTGAAAAGAAAATTTATTTGTTTTATTTTATACCTGGTTATATTTGCTGATGGTGATCGAGGATCAACAATAGTAGTCGTTTGTGTTTTTGGTTCAACTGTATGAATTGGTGGAATTTGACAAGCGTTTTTCGAACGACGTTGAATATTATTCATGATTTTGCTTTTAAAAAACTTTGCCCGGTTTAAATATTTGATTGTCTTTCTCTTATATATATTTTTTTTTTACAAAAGACTCCCACTTATAAAAGAGCCCCACATTCTATGTTTTAGTTAATATTTATAATAAGTAGGCGTTCATTTACTAATGGAATAAGTGTCGTTTTATTTGATGTCGTGCGTGCTTAGTTTACATATTTATTCATGGCTTGTTTCTCGAGTTCCTCGTTTCTTTTGTTAGAAGAAAAAGAAATGCCTTACGGCTACTACTCATCATATTAATGTATTGACTTGACAAGCGAACGTTACTCTTTTTTTTTTTTTTTTTCTCTTTTTTGAAGCGGAAAAAAACTGTGATGCATACCGCTCTAGTGGTAGTGGCATAATCACAGCTTGATTTGATTTTCAAACGTCTTTACTATACACGTGTCGAAAATGTTACTTCTTCTTTTTCGTTTTTTTTTAAGTGTGTTTAGACTAGAAACACAAACAGATGCATAAAAAAGAATAACAAAATTTTTACCGAATAAAGATATTACATCAGAACAATAATAAAATAATATTATGATCGTTCGAACATATTCATCATCATTATCATGAGTGACTGCTCGTGGCATATTGTCAACATACCTGTAAATGGATATATCAATTGCACCATCATCATATGAGTGGGTGGAGAAAAAGCTTGTGAAAAGCACATCTGTTTCGAGAATGTAAATAGCGTTAGCAACAATAATAACAAGAAGAGTGTCAAAAAAAAATAGCCAAAATCGATGTTCTATACTTAACATTCGCTCTTATCAAATATTATAACATAGTAGCTCACACTGTGTAATCTTCGAACATTTAAAGAAAGATTTTATGGTATTTCCGACATTTAATCTAGATTATTCAATTGATATATTGACATAAAAAATTCGAATTTTGAAAATTGACTCAGAATAAATACAAGATCAAGAATTATGATGTACTTAGTGTAATCACTAGATTTTATCATGATACAAATGTCATTATACTTAAAAAGGTTGATCGTCATAGACTCTTGTCTTTGCTTATTTATTCAAAATTTTGTTAGTTATTAGCATTATCAAATATTGTAATAGTTAGTTGTATATGAATAAATATGTAATTCAAATCACGATGGTTTACAGTGGTAGATTTAGGAAAGGAGAGAACTATGAACAATCGCTCCCCTCCTTCAGTAAAGCACTCTCCATCATAAAAAATCATAGATCCCCTATTGATTGTTTACTATTCCAAATGATACTAAATTATTTTTCGTTACTTCGTAGATTACACAAACTCATCATATTTCTATAAGCTTTTTCAAAGCAAAAAAAAAAGCATCTCTGATCATTTCTGTTTGTATTTTCAAAGACAAAAAGTTCCCAAAAGTCCAATAATGGCTTCTAGAAAAAGAATGAGATCTTTTTCTTCCTTATTTTATTTATTTAAATGATTATTTTCTATAATCATTGTACTAGTACAAGGTACAAAGAAAAATTTTCGTATATTTGATCGTTTTATTGTTTACTGAGCCTGGGGGATTGAATTGTACTGTATGCCGATCAAACAAACTCGGCAACACTGTCTATTCTAATAAGGGTACTATCATGTGCGAAATGATGCTGCTGTTCTTACACGCTTCAATGATGATCATAGAACGAAAGAGATTTATTTTTCGTTTCGCTTCATAGCCAATAGATATTTGTTTTCGATTCTATGAAAACGAGAAAGAAAAGAAAAAAGAAAATTGAACCAATCAATCAAAGGAGAAAAAAGAAAAAAAAATATAGGAAATGTTTTATTGTTGCTCTTTAAATATAGTTGATAAAATTTTTCTATCATCACATACAAACAACTTCTACATTTTTCGATGTAAGTTTTCTAACTCAAAATTTTTTATATATTTCAATTCTCATTAGGATGTTTTAATAATTAAATAATTGATTATTATTTCTCTGATTTTAATCAACCATGCTTGTTCACGGCATGCGATCCGCATATATATATGTTGATAGACTAGACCTCCTATGTAGTTTTGTCAACTGGCAATGACAAGTACAGTACATCATCACCTGGCACCATGTGATGCGCATTTTGCCGAACTGTTTGAAGATAGAATCCAGCTGTGCGATTTCTTTCTTTTTATTTCTAGTCTCATCTTTCTCTTTTCTGCAATCATAATAACAGACATCGTGTCATTGAAAACTATCGATATGTAATCTAATGGATATAAAGATCAGATTTAAAATTTAGCGGATAAAAGAAATTCTTTTTTATTTTGTTTTATTTTGATATAGATGACCGATACATTATTATTAACATCAACAATGTCAAATGATCGTCAACGAATACGTCAAATAAAATATCATATTAATCAATTATTATCTGAATTACGTATTATTGAATCAAATAATAATCATATTCAACCATTAAATATATCAATCAATTCACAATTAACAACAATATTACATGAAGAAAATTTTTGTCCATATTTATCATGTAAACAAAAGGCAGCTATATTACATTCAACAACAAATAATCAATGTCGAAAAAAATCAAAGAAATTTTTATTTGCTGCATCAGCACGAGCAACAAGTACACCAAAAACTTCTCCAAATCATTATAGAATTATACTTAAACCTCATCATACATCAACACCAAGACGTAGTAAACGTCATTCAACTCCTTTAGCTTTATCACCAAATAATATTATTCCATTGAAACGTCTTCTATATAATAAAGATTATGCTCAACATAAACGTCGACATTCAGCTGTACCATTTTCTAAACGTTCAATTCTTCCACGTTTACATCCAATTGATGAAAATCAACAATGGATTTAAATTGTTTTTTTTCTTCTATGTACAATTTAATCTATTTTTTGTTTCTTATAAAAATAAAATATATTAACATTGAGTTGTTTTGTTTCTAATATTGATTGTTTTGATGTTCCGAACGACAAAATCATGAATATGTGTGATGAACATTTATTCTTTGATGAAACTATAAAGAAAATAGAAATTTGAAACCATGTTTAATATTGAAACATCTTCTCCAATATGAAAAAAAAAGAAGTTTATTCTTAGGTAAACTACGATCTACTTTTTATAATCATCGATGTGTAATGGGTATATCATGCGAATACTTGAAATGTGTATTGATTTGTACAGTAAGAATACTTAAAATTCAAAATATTTCTAATATGTCAAGTTGAATCTTGAATAAGGAAGTTGATTACCTCCAATATAGGTTTTTTGTAATGATAATTATATCTCATTTTTCCCTTTTTGCATATATTCATTATTAAGGGTTACAATACTAACGAATTTCTAATGAAAAAACTTCAACTATTCGAATCTACCGAGTGACTAAAGTAGCATTGTAATAAATAACAGATTTAAGTATAATATGAATAAGATTTTTTCATTCGAGAGTATTCTAAATCATCTCTTTCTAATCGTGAGAAATAAAAGCATTTTTTCATCTGCATATCAGACAAAAATGTTTACAGTCTTACTATTTGAAAGAAGTTTATAAGGATATATTAAACTCGATTATTCTTCTTTGTTTATAGAAAAAATATGTTTTGTTTTTTCGTAGACGATACTATGAGTTACCAGTATTTGAACGGAAAAGACAGCTTACTATTGTTTGCTTCATAAATAAAAGAAGATTCTTGTTTATGATGTTATATTAAAAGATACGTGTTAGGTAGTAATATATTATTTCCTCTCTCTTGTGTTTTTCCTTTCGTCTGTTATTCTATTGTTATTCATGCTACTATGTCGATATGTGTGATCGATTTGTCCTTCTAGTGTATCATCATCGATAGAATACTCTATTTTATGGATTTTTCCACTTATCTCTCATATATATATACCCCTGGAAAAAAATAGTTACACTCGGTATTTTCAATATATTGTCACTATAAATTGACATTGAGAGAAAAGTAATTATATATTCGGATAGCCCGTGGAGTTCTCTACAAACTGATATATAAAAGTATTGAATTGTATTTTTCCCTTGATAATAAATTCAAGTACATTAAAGGCACCCTCATAGTCATATTTTCAATACAAAGATAACTTATTTCAAAACTAAATACATATTCTCAATGTACGTGAAATTCTCTATCACCCCATACTATTCCAACCACCATTAGATATTATTTGTTGACAAATAACAGGTACATTATTTATATACTGTAACTTTCGTATTTTGTACTAGGTGCGTAAAAATGTTTTAAGTGTCAGGTTTTGCTAGTTATCCTATCTTATAGAGCTTTTTTCGCTGATGATTTTGCTAAAAAAATGTTTCAATTTTCATCAAGAAACAACGGTGCTTGAGTGGAAATACCCCCGATGTCTTGATGCAGTGGACGATGGACTTCTA